ACCAAGGACTATAGATACGTAAGTTTTTTTGAGTAACATATTTTATCAATTTTTGTTTTTTATTTCACTTTCTAGTCATGGCGAATCGAAAAAGTGACTTATAGTTCAAGAAGACATATTAGAGCACTGGTAGAACTGATTTAGACAGCAATAAGGAAGAAACCCACGAAAATTCTATATCTGCAAGCAATGCCGTAACTTCAAATTCTGACAAACAGTTTTCAGATAAATTATAAATTATAATTTCAAATTAATGATCATGAAATGTCCTGAAATATCTGTTAGCGAAAATCCTAATGAAAATAAAGTACAAATAATCTTGATGTGAACCGTACTTGATCTGCCGATTTACATAGCATATATATTTTTGATTTATGGTACAGTAACAGACATCACACACAAACAATTAAAAAAAACATTTAAAAATTAGTACAGTAGGCATATCTGTGCCCAATTATAACTATGCTCAACATTCAAAAGTTCTTAAAAGGACGCTAAATTTATCATTATTATACAAAAAAAAGAAAAAGAAAAAGAATACATTATTTACCTTACAACAATGCAAGAAATGACCTCTTAAAAATAGGGACACCGCAGTTAAAAAAATCACAACCAGAACATATTTCGTTGTAATACACACATCCTATACAGCGGGTTATTATGTGATTCATTATTTTTTGTAAGGGGTATAGTGAACAATTGTTGATTACGCAGAGACCGAGTCGGAATTCTGAACAGCAACATCTCTAGTAAGCCACCATCAGACAGACCATTGGCAATTTTACGCAGTATACTTAAATTACTCATCCATCTACGTTTTTCCAAAGAAACCATATGAAAATAGCTCAAGCGATCGTCATATTCCCGTATTGTTTTACGTATACCACATTTCAAAGAATAGCATTTTATTTGCCTTACTATAATATGTAAAAACTGCTTTCAATTCATGTTTATAATTAGGTTAAATTGCACTAGTGTCAGTTTTTTTTACGAGGATACTTTTAATTTAATTTTGTTTTTCTAAAACAATATATTTTCAAATGTAAGAAAAAAGTTTTGTTAGATATACATGTTCCTACCGTTAATTTTATACAACACTGCATTTGTCAAAGTTAAAATAATACTTTCTCTCTCTCTCTATTTTATCACCATTCCAAAATGCATGGGTCCATTGGACCCACGGCGTTATTTTTTTCCACGTTAAGGGTTAAAACTCTGAGTGGCACTGTAACTGTTATGGATTATATGCTTACCATCAGGCGCACGATTTGTTTGTCCCGTCACTTGATATTATAAAAAAATATTAATAATACCTTTAAATGAAACCAGACTCGTAGCAGCTCCAAGGAGTGTTGAGAGATCTCGGCTCCTTGCGTCGTCCAGAAAGTTATTCTTGCTGTTACAAGTTCACCACAACGTATGTTTACTATTACTCACTAGAGTTTTCAGTTTTGTATGGTTTTACTTTAAGTTTTCACAATAAATTAACAGGGCGGTTGAGATTTCAATGCCGAAACGTTCGCAAAATGCTATTTCGGCTCAACCAGGTTCCATAGTCATACCTGACTGGTACGACGATCCGAAAAACGTTGATGTCAGGAGATGATTTAGCTCTGAACAAATAGTTTCATTTGCTATATGTAACAATCGCGAAAACCTAAGAATTCAAAATTAAATCCCCGAAGTAATGCAGCTTTCAAAAGATTTAGTTGACAGTCATTTTTTCATTAATTTGTTTTAATTTGGCGAGTGGTTTGGGGCTGATTTTGCGTTTTTGTAAATTTTTACTGATGAAGGTTTTTTATTTATTAAAGTTTGAGATAATCAATGTTAAACTGTTGCAATTTTTAAGTTTTCCGCTGTTTCTGCTTTGTCACAAAATCTAAAAAAAAACGCGTTTCCAATAAAGTTTCAGTGAGGCTGTAAAGACAGGTGGACGACATTTTTAAAGTTGTGGGCTGTAGATAGGTGAGACTAGCACAGAATCGTGGTGACTGACACAAACAACGGGAGGCCCAGCAGTGGGTGAAGTCGGAGTTTGGATGACAATGATGATGAAGGCTTAGGTAGATTAACATGTCGTTGCTCCTTTTGTCTGATTCTTATTCATTTAAATATTAACGTTACTATTTTATATTGCCACTTTTTTTGTGACGCTAAATCTGCTGGTGTGGTATTTAACTTAAGATTGTTTGACGTTTTTAAAACAAGCTCAATTGCTGTAGTGACCTCAATATTGGCCTGGTGTGAAGGGGTGGTATCCACAATTGGATGTATGGGTGTCTATTTTACGTGTGGTGGGTGCAAGGTCTCTCACACACTCGTGGCACTAGCTCTGCTGAAGGCCTTGGGGAATGACCTCAGTTGTTCAAAATATTTCGCTCTGCCGATAGCCACACCGGGGCAGGATAGTAGGATACGCGTCGTTTTCTCATTTTTCGTGCACGCTCTGCATAGACGGCCTCCGTAGTCGAGTGGCTTGCACACCGGTTTTTATGGTGTCACCATTTCTGACGTCCAAGGTTCGTTCCCCGGCCGGGTCAGTGTAGAAAACAAACTTTTCTACATTATCTCGGTTCCGAGTGTTTGTAGTACCGTCGTTGTTTCCGATTTCCATAACACAATTGCTTTAGCTACTTTCATTGGGATCAGAGCAACATATGTGATGTTGTCTAATATTTATTTATTATCTATTTATCCGCTCACGCGATGCGCTCATTGTACCGCAAAATGGCGGCTATTTGGTTTCGCAAATTAGAAAAGGATTCAGTTTAAATACAAGTTCTTATAAATAAAAATTATTATTCTGCTTTGCTAAATAAATACCCTCCGTACTACAACAAAACATCTCAAATAAAATGCAGTAATACACCGCAAATCCTGCACTTAAAAAGCACTAATGAAATTTTTGGTGTACTTGGGTAAATATGATAATATTTCGTTTGAATGGTTCTAACGTGTACCATGTAATTACTCCTTAAAGTATAGTTTATAAACATTTATATTCAGGGTAAACTTAAAAAACGCTACTTACGGTATGTTTTCAATAAATAAACACCGAAATCACCAGCCCAAACAATAACATTAACGATGGTCGTGACGTATTTTTGAAGTTGTTTATTGTTTTAAATGACAGACCCAGGCATTAAAAACTTTATGGTTTGCTAGAGTAGTTACCGAAATAGCAATTAGTATTAGTTCTTTTACCCGTTATAACTTCAATATCCGATAAACCGGTATAAAATCATCACCGGCACCTCTAGGTGTGGTATGCGTCTACGGCTGCATGTATCGCGTGAGCGGTTATTTACGGCTGTCCGTGAACTAAATTGTTTATTATGTGGTCCAAGACCCTTTAGAGCGGTAGTAGTAGTTAGAATGCGTAGCTCTCGCTTTTTGAAGTTTTACTGACATAAATTTGTTCAATATTAACTTCATAGCACGCCATCTTAGCGGAAAGCAAACGGGCCGTCTCGAAAGACACTTGACGGCTCGCTGTTCTATTGTCTTGATTTTTTGCTTCTGATCGCTTGTAAGCGTCATATCTTCAAACAAAGGCTTTTAAATGTCTTTTAACCACGACACTCATGATATAGTGGCTCCCCACTCGATTATTTGCCGTATATGTCGTGTATCGACTTAGACCATAGCTTGTAAATAATTTATAAAGAGTTTTTGATTCTAGAAACTGACTATTCTATTATTGATTTCAGTTGGTTACTTAAATAATTATTTTTTATTCCAATTTCTCATTTTAATTTGAAAATTATATTCCCTGGAAGGACAAACTAATTGTCGTATTTGAAGTAATTAAGCGTAATTGCCTAAGGGCAGTTTGTTTTAATATCATTTATTCTCACATTATTGACTTCGCATTTTCAGTTGTCGCCACCGGCATTAGAGTTTCTATGTAACTGATGGTCAATGCGAGAACCTTACTTGCTCCGATAGTCTCACAAAGAGAACAAGTTGTAAGAATTTGAATTATTTTGGTATTGCTTCAAAATAACATAATTTTTTTCCATCGTTCCTTAGTCTTCATTTTCCTTCGCAAAAATATTCCTAGTAATTGAATTTAAGTTTCATTACTAAAGAATCTGAAAGCAGTAGTCATCCGGGACCAAGAAATGTCAAAACCGTTCTAAGCTTCGAAAATGTAAATCATGGAAATGTGTAGCATCTGAACGACTGTACTCTACAAATCGAGTTCTTAGGTTTTCGCGATTGTTGTACATAGGAAATGAAATTATTTTTCCGGATTTAAATCGCGTATATTTGTTTTTTCAAACAAACCGACGTTTCGGGCCTTTTACAGATCCCATGGTCACGGTTGACTGAGGTGGAACAGTCTTCAACCAGTTATGTCTAATATTAATGCAAACCACCCCACTTTTTCCACTATAGTTACAATAGTTATTAATTAAATACCTTATTTTTAATTTTACAAAGAAAACATTCCAATTTACACTACATTAAGTTTTACAAATTATTTTATTGAATGAATTTTTATTAAGTCAAATTTGTTATTAATTATTAAAAGAAATTGGAATAAACTAAAACATATTAATTACTACTGCAGTCTTATGTCTGTTTGGGATTTTTAATCAGAGGAAATACTGGATCCCAAACTGGTGGTACGGAGAAACAATCTTCCCTGTTGAAATTAGGATGTTTTTTTAATTTAATGGCCTCTCGCAGCATCCTGGGTAGATAACGGACTTCTTTTGCAAGGACCTGGGGTTTATCAAACTTCATTGAATGTGTAGGTTTATCCATGACATGCTCGCATTCTGCAGACTTGTTTACGCGACAGTGTTTCACATCAACTATATGTTCTTTGACGCGGGTACAAATACTTCGCTTCGTTTGTCCAATATAAAAGAGTCCGCACTCACAGTCAAGCTTGTAAACTCCTGCATCCTGTAAGGGGATGTTACATTTCACGGGTCTCAGGAACTGAGAAATCTCCCTCAGGGGCTTGATAGATGCACGCCTGAGGACTCTTCCGATCTTGTCTGTAACACCACTCACGTAAGGTAAAATGGCAGGTCTTCGCTAAATATATGCGATTTAAATCCGGAAAAATAGTTTCATTTCCTATGTACTCTACAATATTACACTTTATGTAAACATAATATTGTGTGAATTTGTAGCGTTATGTCACTTTGTTGTATTTTTAGAATAAATAATTTATTTTATTTTTATAGAACGTCATGTTGGTTTACTGCCATATACCATAAATTTATCTATTTCTTATGAAAATTCTCCACTAGTTTTTTTGTTATTATTGTTACAAAGACTGCATAAATACAAAGAAAAACTTCTTTGTAAGATCTGCTGGCTTAATTCATAATTCAGTTAGCAGAACTGTAGCCACGTTACGGCAACAATCGCTGGTTCGAGTCCAGTCGGTTCGAAGGAATACAATACATTTTTTTATGTTACTAAGTGGCGGGACGAACAAGTCGTGCGCCTGAGCGTAAGCGACACGCCTGTCCATAGCAGTTGCAGTGCCATTCAGAGCTTCATATACAAAGATCTAAAGGACACTCTGAGATATAAGTTAACAAGTTCCATATGCCTTTAATTTCACCATTATCCTTAAAAACTGCAACTTGGTGGCAGAAATATATAAAGTGGCATTTCTCTGGACGAACTTTTTAACGAGGAGTTCTACTTTTACGATCTTTGTGTTTGTTATATCTTTAAGTAATTAAGTAATTAAGAATAACAAACTAGATCGATGTTCTTTTTATTATCATTTTTTTAGTTCATTTGGCGACTCTAAACATTTCCAAAGTCGTGAAAACATTAACATTCACAAATCCATGTTCGCTTCACCCAGTGCAATCGTTTGCATACGTTTAGTTAATTGTTAGTCGTGTATTCTCAGTCAATCTCGTACTAGCTGCGTTTAGCAGAGTGTTTCAGAGAATGTGATTTGTGTTTATTTCGTGGTTTATGGTTGTTAGGTGTAAATTATAAGGTGATTAGAAGCGATATCTGTTACAATTTTACATAGTCAATTATCACTGCACAAGTTAAGGAAAATATCGCGAGATAGTTTTTTTGCGTGTGGGTTTTACAACCTTGACAAGTACCTTTTCCTTTTCTCTGTCTAGGTAATATGCGAATTACAATAATATGCTGAGAGCTCAAACTCCTGGACGTCAAGTCTACGGATTTGTACAGTTCTCAGGCTTTGATGATTGCTACGAATTGAAAATAAAATTATTTTTAACCGACTTCCAAAAAGGAGGATCTCTATTCGAATGTATTTTTTGTGTGTGTGTGTGTGTATGTTACACGGTTACTCTGACATTTGTAAATCGATTTCGATAATTCTTTTTTTTTTGAAGTAAATATTGCACTTTTAAGGGTGGCAAACTAAGGGATGAATCCGGTTTATCGGATTTCACCCACTTTCCGTTAATCGATTTCAATTAAACTAGGCAATTAGATGTATTTTCACAAACATTTGAGGACGGTTTTTGATTAAAAAAGTTATAATTTTTTTTCTATTTTATTCTTTCGCTCAGCCTTGACCATAGTACCTGTACAGTCAAGAGCACGTCAAGCTTGACACTTTGAACTTTGGACCGTTCTTATCGTAAGCGGCATAGAGTTGGATTTAAATATACATAAGTAATATCGATTCAAAAAGATACTTTCATTTCTTTGGATTTAGTTAAGCCAATAAGTGGTAATTATACGTCTTTTACTTAATCACCATTACACCATAATGCATTTGACTGTCGGCCATGGTTCAAATTGTTTTCACTTTATCTTTGTTGTGTAATACGTCTGGACATATAATATCAATTAAAATTTGGTTTAGCTTAGGAGTCTGTACTGCCTCAAATGACTTTGTTTCAGTCAACATAACTGCGTAAGTATCGAATCAATCGTTTTGGAAAAAATGTAAAGTAAAATTAAGGATATACTCTGATTACTAGACGGCGTGAAACTATGATTCTTATAAATTTTGACGATAGAAAAAAAAAACACAAACTTATCTCGAAATTTTACAAGAAAACCGCAGTATTCAACGGGTACTTTATACATATCAATGATTTTTAAATGTCAACTGAACTAAATAGCTTAGAATAATAACGCATAGAATGATAGTTTCATATCAAACGAACTGTCACAAGTGAGGCAAAAATCAAAGTCATGTAGGCTAGATTTAGTAGTAGGTTAATTTTCGGTTTTAGTGAATATTTGTATAAAAATACAAGTTGAAACGCGTTACTTCCTTGTGGAATGTGATGGTAGTATCTATTTTATGGTTATCTGACGTATTTTTGCACTCATTTACCGCACATTTCGTCATTTTTAGCTAAAATTCTTGAGCTGTTCGCGGTGCAAGTTGACCTTGAGCACTGACGGCCCGTCCGCTCGTTGGGCACGCTTCAATTTGCCTCACTTAGCGTGTGCGGACTAGGTTTCTATGCGTTATTATTCTAAGCTATTTAATTTTTATATAGGTTCGTTAATTTATTTGTATTTTCGTAACATAACATGTATACCTATACGATAAACTTTTTTCAAATAGCTTTAATTTCGTTTGTAACAAAGTTGTTTCTGAATTATCTATATATAATAATTTTGTTGTTAAGTCTCTATTAAATAATCTCAGTACAGAGTACTAAAAAACCCGACCTCAAAAGTACGTGAATTTCATCTATTTGCCAAGTTTTATAGAAATATCTCCTAGTTCGCCACTATACAGGACTTGACACTGGAGATAATAAAAATCGGTTCTCACTACTCAAAGTATGTTGAGAGAGAAAAACGCCTTGAATTGGAGAATAGCAAAACCAACCATTAAAATAATAGCTCCTTAAGTAAAATTTAGGCGCTATTTATAAAAATGAATGTTCATGCGTGATCAGCCACCCTTAGAGATGGATGATCACGCATACGCGTACCCTCTTTCCAACAAAAAAGAATCATGAGAATCGGTTCACTAATACCGGAGTTTTCGCGTAACATACATACAAAAAACAAAAAAAACATACAGTCGAATTGAGAACCTCTTCCTTTTTTTGAAGTCGGTTAATTATAAAACCTATGATTTTTGCTTGATTTCCAAACAAAAATGTATCGTTCTATACGAACTTATTCCACCAATAAATCAGAAATAAGAATTTATCTGTTGTGGAGAATGTATAGTTCTACAATATTGTGGGAAGTGTTGGCACGAACTTAAGTCATAAGAACCGAAGATTTGGTGAAGGCACGTTCGTTTCAAGATTGCAGTTAAGCTATATTGATGTTTTGTTTCATATTACAGTCAAATATTAAATTCGGAAACTAATAATCAGCTTGAAGAGCGATAATTCTAAAACATTTTATTAGTGCGCAGCCGTCAATTTTCCGTTTTTAAATTATACTTCGCTTCTTTAGAATTTTATAATACTTGTAATAATCAAAGAAGCAGTGATTGTAGGTAGACCTGTTTCCACATAACAGCGATTAAATAATAGCTAACAATACATAAATATCACTTGTTATTACAATTTTTTTTATGATACCTAGTGACGGGACGAACACGTAGTGCGCCTGTTGGTAAGCGACACGCCTGTCCATAATGGTTGCAGAGCCACTCAGACTTTAAATAACTAAGATCGGGGAGCCTACCACAACCTCTTAAAACAATATTACTTTAACCTTACATTGACTTTTCGTACCATAACGCGCTTAAAGTAAGCTTATTGTAATGTTAAAACTATGATGTTTTATTGGCAGCTTTGTGACTATTCATTCACTCATTTCGTACCATGACGCGATAATATTGCTCTTATGTCAAATTTAGCAATATTAAAATATTACACGGATGCAATGGAAACAATATTATTTTCAGTTTTATTGTCTTAATATTGATTTGTAATGATTAAAAGTTAAGTTAAACTTATTTAATTACATATATCTCTTCAATATTTTGTTTATTTTTTATATAATAGCATATAGTAAATATTGTTTCGTTAAATAAAAGTACGCTATATTTATTTCGTAAAATTATAACAGCGCTATCTATATGCTCCTTGACGAAACTAACAGTTGGCACTAGAGTTAGAGTTATAGTTCCGAATTCACAACGTGACTATCAAAACTTAGCTTGTTTTATTTATGAAAATGCGGAATGATTATTGAAAACAACGTAATTTTAATAGATTTTAAGAAGTAAATAATAATTACTTTTCTTTACTTAACAGTGAAAATTCTCTGAGTGTAAATAACATTAAGTACTTAAACATTATACTATGATAAAACGATTCGGAACATCAAAAAAGAACGACAACTGTTATAGACAGGTATTTATCTCGCTTACCCCCGCCATTTAGTATCACAAAAAAGTAGATTTTTGATAATGACAGTATTGACTTCAGCGTGTAAAATGTCCTACCAAAGTCGTTAGTTTTATTTGAATATAATTTCATTTATACCTGCCACCGTTTGTTGTAAAGCCGAGCTAATTTTTCCACACACAAAACACACTTTGACAATGGAACCCTTTCCCCATGATTTACAACCTGCCCTTGACCAACTTTTCTGTTTATTCACGAGCCCTAACAATTCATTGATGTATTGCATTTGTAGACAGGCTATCACGTTACTGTAAGCAAATACAAAGACTTGTTTTATTTGTAAATGCACATACGTTGCTCTGATTTCAAAGTAAGTATCTAAAGCACATGTCTTATGGAAATCCGTGACAATATAGGAAAGTTAGAAAACCGGTGTGTAAGCCAATCGACCACGGAGGACGTCGACATTTTTATTGTGTTCAGTTGCATATTAAGTAAATTTAATAAAAAAGGTTAATGTATATGTTATTGTTAATTATAATTGACTGCACTATAGATATATTTGCTCTGCAAATGGTAAGGTTTCATACAAATTAAATTTTAATGCTAAATATTTGAATTCATTTTATTCATTTGTTGTTTGTTTAAATAATATTTTCTTGAGCCCAGAGACAATTTAAAGACATAGAGATCACAGAGATATACAAAAGAAAAAAAAAAAGGAAAATTATTAACATGCAAATAAGTTTGTGTATAAACATCAGAAAACCGTGATCGGCGTAGTCACCCGTGACCGTGGGACCTGTAAAAGGCCCGAAATGGTGTTTCGTTTGAAAAAAAAAAAACAAATGTACGCGATTTAGAGTAGAAAAAAATAGTTTCATGTCGTATGTGTAACAATTGCGAAAATCTAAGACTTGGAATTTATTCTCAAAACGTAGTAATATACATAGTGTCTCCATGTGGTAGCGATCATACTCGGAATGTTTTTTTATACATAACGTCATTGACATGACATATCTTTTTACATTAATCTAGTTAAATCCCCAGGTCGACTCTTTATTTAAATTGGACCAGATTCATATCAGTCGAGCCCTTGTTTTTGCTTGTCATATGAATATTTTTACTCGGATTTTTCTGAATTTTCGGTCTAATGGACGAATTAGGAGAGATTGTCAGGTTTTACGGTTTGGTATACGAATTTTAACGTACAAAAATATACAATATTTTAGAGATACAGTCAGGAAATCAATATCTAAAGTCAGTTACGACTTAGTTTATTATATCGTACCCCTGGTAGAATAAAATCACCATGATCATACGTTAGAAATGCTTTTATCACATAAAAGTTTTCTTCTTCTTCCTGTCCTTATCCTATGGTAGGTGGCGTTGGCGCAACATGTATTTTTCATCCAATCTCCCCTAACAGCCGTTATTTCCATGTTCACACCTTTCTTATCCATGTCATCTTTCACACAATCCATCCATCTTTTGTTTAGCCTTCCTCCACATTCATATGTAACACTTTTGTCGTCACATGACATGAAAATCTATCGTACAAAATTAATACAAACTTCATGAAATGAAATTACGCGTAAGCGAAAATTTATAAGTGCAAAAGAGACCGATCAAATCGTACGTAGTATCTTTAAACTTCTCTCATGAAAAGTTGTCATTTTGCAGACGTAACCTTTTAGTGATACCTGGTGCTAAGCAACACGCCTGTTCATAATAGTTGCAGTAGTCTTAAGGAACCTAAGAACGCGCTCAGAGAGATGTAAATAACGTTAACCCATCGTGTCCAGTCGTGCGGAGCCGAATACTCATAAATGAAAGACTTATATGAGCGCTTGTACCGACGTCGGTACACTCAGCGGTAGGCACTTATCGCGTTACCCTGAGCGAGAGACGGAGCCCTGCGTAAAGTATGTTATATATAGTAATCCTAAAGCGTTGTCAGCTCTATGTGTTACCGTCACGCTTGTCCTACTTAGTTGACTACGTGCCTGACGAAGCTAATAAACGAGGGTTTCTTTTTTTTATAATTCCAAGTGACGGGACGAACAAGTCGTGCACCTGATGGTAAGCGACACGTCTGTCCATAACAGTTGCAGTGCCGCTCAGAGCTTTAAATTGCAAAGATCTGAAAGGTACTGCCACTGCGCCCGTCTACCTGAGACGTAAGTTTAAAAGTTATTATATTATAATTGAATACATAATAAGGGCACAA